CGCGGGGGCGGCGGCCGTTGGCCTTGCTGGGCGGGGCCGTTGCTCGCTCAGGGACGGCCGGGGCGCGAAGGCACTCTTGAGCCTGATATTCATCTCCCCCAAAACCCGAACCTCACGTTTTCATTAATTAGAAGAACCCAAGAGGTACAGCGTGCAAGTCGCGTGTATTAAGAGAAGGACAATGACGGCTTAAAAGCGTTTCTTTCTCTTGTCTGTGTACGAGAGAGAGAGAGAGGTACCAGGGTTCACATCGGACCCAACGAAGACAAAACGAAAATGGGTGTCTCTTCTGTAACGCTATGGGTAGCAATGCTTTTAAATCTCACTTCTCCTTCGAGCATCTCTTAAACAGAGGTTTATGCTGCCGGAATACATTCTGAAAGTCATATGCACCCTACTAAGTAGCATTTAGTGAACAGCAATATGCTTTTCTCAAGCGCTAATGATTCAAAACTCAATTTTCATATTCCACTGATAGCAACTCGTGCAAAAGATGACTTATTCGAGGGTTCTCTTAATAAAAAATAGTTCGTGGATCAGGAGATGCTGTTTATCTGATAAAACAAAATAACCGGAGGCACATGCCAACAGTTTGTGGCACCGTATCTTCTACCCATCATGTAAGGAAAAATAAAAGTTGCTACTTAAAAGTAACCTTCTGTCGCTGTATATTTACAGATACAGACTGAGTTATTGTAACCAACGGCTTAACAGTGGTTCACAGATGTTCCCTAGATTTTGAAAAAAATCTTAAAATAACATTTGGAACACTACTCTAGAATGAAGCTTTTGGCACTACTCAGCAACTCAGTATCTCAAATGAAGCAAATCTTATTCCAAATCAGGGGTTCCCCATAGCCAAATTCACAGCAAGCGATTCACAGGAGGCAAATTTTAATATTAAAGTTCTGCAGATATTGTCTTTATAACCCTTTCAAGTAAGCGCTTGCACACTCAAAGCACAGAGCTATTCCCTGAAGAAAACGCTAGATTTGTTACACTTCAGTTACAATCACTCTTGTCCCAGCATGAATCAATAGAACACAATTTTACTTTTTTAATACTCTTCAAATACAATCGGTAGATCAGATTATCTCGTTTTCTCTTACATAGTTTCAATAAATCTGAGAATAAGTTCATATACAAACAGCTGGAATACGAAGATCTTTAAAAAAAAAAAAAAATCCCTAATAATAGGCAGCAGTCCTTTCAAACTTGACTAACAAAAGCATTTTTGAAAGAGTAAAGCAGGTGAGTACAACCCGAAGTCCAGAAGCCTAGAGAAACTTGAGTATTCAAGAGCATAGTTTCTCTCTAAAATTCCTTCTCTTCCCAACCACTCTACTTCTGTATTAGCTTCTTAGAGTAGTTCTTTGCAAATTGCTTTCGTACTTCTTCCTGTCTCTTTCCAAGTTTAAGTGTGTTCATCAGATTTAAGCTTTTTTTCAGTTCATTCACAGACCTGCCTACAAAGCCACAGTACTTCCTTTTTGGAACAAATTCCAGAGCCTTCTTCCAGTCTCCAGTATCTTTCAGTGTTAATAAAATATGCATCATTTGGTCCAGTGTGAGATTTTTGGCACCTGTATTCCAAAGCAAGTACTTCTCCAACGGAAGGCTGGCAGTTTCCAGCCCCAATCGTTTTGCTTGTGCTAAAGAGACTCCTGTCTTTATACTTCTGTCAACCATTGACCCAATGATATAGACTTTATCGTGATCGAATGCCTTCATGACGTTGGGAGAATCAGCTGTCAGATAGATAATCTTGTCCTTGGGAAAGACATTTGTGTAGCACTGGTCTGTCACAGTGATAAGCAATTTGTCCCATGCCTCTCTATAATGCTTGATAAATTCCCTGTGATACTGGCTGTTGTCTTTGAAGTTACAGAAGTGAACGTGGAATGGATCCACAGATTTTCGATTACAACCTTCACTGAGTACTATCTGTCTCACTGTATTTGCTACTTCTCTAGGTGACATATAATTTTCAAAAGACATGTCAAATACTAGAGGCTGGCCAAAGACCATAGACTGAGCAGCCCTCCAATTGTGTGTTTTATCCATGGCACTGGCCCACAAACAGGTGAATGAGTTCTTTCTGGTCTCATCGGTTTTTGAAGCTTTCTCCTGTGTTTCCAGTCTTCTTTCCCTTTTCTCATCCATCTTTCTTTTGTCATTTTTCTTGTAAAGTTCTTTTAGATGCAAGTACTTTAAATACTTCTTTTTAGATGACTTGGAAGGACATTCTACGAAAGCTTTCAGCTGTTCTTCACTGATGTTTTCAGGAACCGATCTGCCAGCCAGCCTCCACATCTCCACAGTCTCACGTGCAGCAGCCAAAGTGGAAAGCTCCTTACGCTCAGAGATTGTCTCACTGACTTCTACTTGCAATCCAGATTTCATTACCTTCTTCCACTCATCTAAATCTAGTTTTTCAGAGGGACTGTGTGAAGCGTCCTCCTTCAACCAAGGTGATAAAATCAGAGTTCTACAGAGCGGAAACAAATCCTTTTTCATCCCATGTTGCACAGCAAAGGGAAAGACAGAACGCTTGACAAAGTTTTTCAGAAGCATATTCGCAGACTGCATACTTAGACATGTGCTGTGTCTCAATACTTATCTGCAAAACAGCAGTAAGATAAGAGGGGGAAAAAAAACTGTCAGTGGTCATGGAGAAAATACAGATTTTCGTCCTTAGTAACACTAGCAAACAGTAAGTTACTTACATGAATGTGAGAAATTTGTGCTTCCACTGTTATTTTCCCACTGTTTATAAATAACAGCAATATAGATGGCACTGCTGTGAATAGACAAAGTTGACAGTGCTGCTTAAAACAGCAGTACTTACTGCAATTCAAAGGTCAACCAACCATTAAATATTGGCCGAGATCTATTTCAGTTATCTGTACCTTATGACAAATAAGGCCCTTTGCAACAGAAGCAAGCAGAACGCCGTGGAGGCTGAAAACATTTTTATGTGCAGAGGGGCCTACCTGATTTACCTATGCTGTGAAAGGGCACAAGATGCTTCATCTTGTAATATGTTTTCTGGAGTATCTGGGATATCAGTACATCACAGAAGATCACATTTCTGCTTTTACCGTTATACTCTGGGAAAGCTTCGTTGGCACTTACACACTGGAACACCAGGGCCACAGTTTGCTGAGCCAACACTGCAGCTCCGGGAGACGTTCTTATGCCCCTTCAGCCCCACATTGCCAGCTGCCCCAGCTGCCCAAGTATTTGCACGGTCACAGGATGAACCAAACGAGAGAACTGATCTTGGGGACAGTTAACCCGGGAAAAAAAAACTAATTATCGTCCAACCCAAATGAGCTTCCATATGGATCTACTGAACACCTCTAAGAGAGAAAAGGACATCAGGAATAAACAACTAGCATAGGAAGAGACCATCTTTTTTGCTAAATTGCTCATGAAATTGATGCTAGCAAATAAAGCTAAGCACGTGAACTGAATAGTCCAATTAATTCCACCGGGATGCATTTGTATTTAAACGCAAGTGCCTTGTAGAAAGAAGAACACTAAAGAGTGTTTAACATTTTCTTTGTCCCATACAAGTCTACTCAAGTGAAATCAAGTAAGTTTCAGAGCTCAAGAAAACATGATTTGACCCAAGCATAAAAATTTTTAATTTAAAAAGGTGAACTTATTAACTCCCCATAGTTTACCACCTGAAAATAATCTGATTTACAGAAGGCCAAGTTAAATCTAGTTCTGCTGTCTAAATATACCTGCCCAGATAGAGAGCCATAGAAAGAGAAACAGCATATTATTATGAAACATTATATAAACTGGCATGCTTTTTAAGATATTGCATTCGGTCAAATCGGTGACTGGGATTTAATTTTCTACTGTTACTAAAACAACAGAACCAAAGAACCCAATAGCACGAGTTTAAGACAAAACTCAAAATAAGAAATGGTACAACACAGACATTCACAGTTTTACATTTAAGTGCTAAAGAAACTGCCAAAAGTAATAACCAAAATATGCATATGTGGTCCAGCTTGGGGAGATCAAGGGATTGCTTTCTCTGCTGGCTTATTTTAGCGTAGCTCCAATTAAGACAACGTTTAACAGGTAGCTTCGTGCAATCAGAACAACTGATGGCAGCTTTCTAATAAAACCCGTTTACACCTTCCCAACTGTCCAACCTGCAGCAGACACGCCACCGTGCCATCACCGCAAGAATTACTCGAAACCCCGCTTCGCAGAGCTCGCTCTTGCAGAACCGAAGACACCTCGCTGACACCTGCCTTCAGCCCGAGGCTCCCGAGCGACGTTCCAGCCGCCCAACGGTCGAACCGAACCGTTACAACCCTCACAACCGCCCCCTACCAGCTACCAGCTCCCAGCCCCGCCCCCCCAGCCCTCCCCCGCGCACCGCAGCTTTCCCTCTCCCCCCTCCCCCGCC